CTGTTTTTATCACAGAAGTTTTGTAGTATAGTTTCGAGTTGGGGATTGTTACACCCCCCTGCCATGTTTCTGTTGCCTAGAATGGATTTTGCTATACTAGTTCTCTTCTGGTTCCAAATGATTTTTTGGATTGTTTTCTCAAGTTCTGTGAAATATACTCTTGGGATTTCAACTGGGATTGCACTGAATCTGTATAGCAGTTTTAGAAGTATGGCCATTTTCACTATGTTGATTCTTCCTACCCAGGACCAAGAGATGTCTTGCCATTTTCTTATATCCTCTTCTATGTCTTTTTTCAGAGTACTATAGTTTTAAATTTAGAGTCTTTCTTTCATCTCCTTCTATAGATGGATTCCTAGATTTTTTTCTGTTATTGTGAAATGAATTGTTTCCCTAATTTCGTTCTCAGTGAGTCTGTTATTTGTGTACAAGGCTATTAATTTTTTAGTGTTGACCTTGTATCCAGCTACTCTACTGAGTCTGTCAATTAAGTCTAGAAGTATTTTGGCAGAATGTTTTGGGTCTTCTATGTAGAGCATCATATCATCAGCAAATAGTGACTGTTTAACTTCTTCCTTTCCTATCTTTATTTCTTTTATTTCTTTCTCTTGTCTAATTGCTGTGGTAATATTTCCAGAACTATATTGAACAGGAGTGGTGATAGTGGACATACTTGACTTGTTCCTGAATTTGGGTAGAAGGTTTTCAGTTTCTGGCCATTTAGTATGATATTGGCTGTTGGTTTTTCATAGATAGCCTTCATCAGGTTGAGATAAACACCATCTATTCCAATTTTCTGCAGCATTTTTATCATGATTGAGTATTGAATTATGTCAAATGCTTTTTCTGCATCTATTGAGATGATCATATGGTTTTTGTCCTTGACTCTGTTAATATAGTGTATTGCATTTATTTGTTTGTTTTGTTTTTGGTACCAGGGATCGAACTCAGGTCCTTGCGCTTGCGATGCAGGCCACCGAACCACTGAGCTAAATCCCCAGCCCTGTATTGCATTTATTGATTTATGTATGTTGAAACAACCTTGCATCCCTGGGATAAATCTGACTTGGTCAGGGTGTATGATCTTGATGACACTCTGTATCCTGTTTGCCAGTATCTTATTGAGGATTTTTGCATCTATGTTCATTAGGGAGATTGGCCTGTAGTTCTCTTTTTTTAGTTGGGTTTTTCCCTGGCTTGGGAGTCAAAGTAATACTTGCTTCCAAGAATGAATTTGGAAGTATTGCTTCCTTTTCAATTTCATTGAAGAGTTTAAAGAGTAGTGGTGATAGTTCTTCTCTAAATGTCTTTTAGAATTCAGCAGTGAATCCATCATGACCTGGGCTTTTCTTCATTGGTAA